GACCGAAAGCACCTGGCGCAGCTGGGGCGGTGGCGTAAACAACCCGCCTCAGCACCAGCAACAAGCGCCGCCCGAGACTCCGCGCAAGGGCTGGATCGAGAAGTGTATCAAGTTTGGAGGTTTGAAATAATTGGACTTGTACAAATGAGCAAAAAGGACATGGTTGCTGCGACTAGTTACTTACACCCCCACGCCTGCGATACCGCAGGAGCCGATACCATAGTGTTAAATACCTGTTTCGAGTGTGCATATTGAACGAACATACCAATCCGTACATACAAAATCGAGATTACACGAGATCTGATGAGACTCGTTGACAACGATCTGACCCCCCAAGCTTGCCCAGGAACATCATTAAGTTCTCATCGGTAGTAACACCGGCTGGCGTGCCTCAGATGTCATGAGACTACCATTGTGCAGCCATTACGGGCGCGCCACTGCTGATTGTCAATGAAGCAACCAATCAACACAGTGCTCGATATGTGTCAGACGATCATCATCACTATCACAGGAATCCAGGTGGCTGAAATCATCGCTCGGCAGAAGAACCAGGCTCTCACCGAAAATGTGGCCTTTGGCACCTAGCATCTCTCCTGCCGCGACTTCACGTGGAGCTCTAGTAACTATCGTGAAACCACAATCAACAACACAAGCATCTGCACAAACATCCGCTTTTCGTAGTGCCGTTCTGCCTCTTCCTTCGTAAGTCTCGAGAGTCATCATCCACAGCGATCAGACAAGCTGCTCGAAACAATGCTAATAACTTGGTTTTCAAAATTGCCAAGACCTTCAGATATGTGTAAACAACGATGGCGGATGCATTACTCTTGCGGCTGTGGCTACTATGAGACGGAATGGCAGACTATTGAGTGCAGCAGGACACGACTTCACATCAACACCACCTACACAGGTGACGCCGGGATCTGCATGGCGTGCGATGAAGATCCAGCTTGAGCAGCATTGCAATTTCATGTACGAGTGCACCTCACAATCAATTTCGTCGCTCCATTGTTGTTTCGTCTGGCGATCAGACGTGAACTCGAGTTTTTCATCTTCGCTCGAGCCGAATACTTCGGCAGGTGTTTTGAGAAGTCTTCATACTTACCTCACTTCGTACCAGCGATACAGTTCCCCATTGTGTGCGGCCTCTGCCCATTCAAAGCAGCCCTCAACTCCGTCTCAAAGTCTTTACACCAAGCTTCCTCCCCATACACAGGCTTCCACCCCAACTTCTCCCTTGCCACAGTTCCTTTTGTTTTACGATGCCCAGCATACCCAGTCTCAGCAACATCCATATTCCCAGCACACGTCTCCGCCGCCTCCTCAAGGCTGACGTTCCTAACAATCTTCTCCCGAGGTCCGTCTTTCTTGGGAAGATTTCCAGTGGCAAACGCGATATCAAGACACTTTCGCGGGATATCAATCGTCAATGTCCTGCCCACAGCTGGGAACATAATCCCCTTCTTGCCCTTGGGAACATTGACCCCACCACGCTCGATGATGTCTAGAACACACAGAACGTAGAGGTCCGCAAGGTCGGAGACGTGAACGTAGTCGATACAGCCCGTCTCATCACCCAACGTCAATCCACAGCCGTTTTTGAGCACGTAGCCCGTCATTATGGGGATCATCAACCCCGCCTTGTTGAAGAGCCCTGAGCCGGGCCCGAAGATGCAAGGTGATTGAATACTGACTGCGTTGACGCCGAGTTCGTCCCCGACTCGGAGCACGGCTAGTTCTGCGGTTCTTTGAGGGTACGGATCTTTGGCGTTTTCGGCTTCTTCAAACTCATACACCTTATCGGCAAAGGCGTCCTCATATTCAGCATCTGGCCTGTTCACTCCAGTCAAGGGCTTATCGGCGATATTGGAAGCGCCCGACGTGTGAATGATCCAGACCGGTCGTCCTCCGCTCCGATCCTTGCGTTTAGCGATACCGCGAACGAAGGCCTCTGCCGAGGGCGGGTGAAACCCCGAGCCTGCGTTGATCACGATGTCATGCTCAGAGGCAAGGGCTGTCAGGGCCAAGGTATCGTCGTACGAGACGATGGACACAGGCTTCACAAGTGAACCATATGAGTCCGTAAGTTTTGCTGCGCGGTCTGGGCCGCCGCGGACTGGTATCGTGATTGGAGAGGAAGAGGTGATGATAGAGGTGAGAGAAGGGTGCTTGAGGAGGTGGTGGAGGACAGACCCGCCAACGTAGCCGGTTGCACCGCTCAGAAGGATCTTTGGTGGCGAGTTCGAAGCCGTCATGCTGATTAGATAGATGAGAAGCCAGTTTCAAACTAGCAGTTCAGGACAAATGAGGCGGCCGGATCGTCTAGAGACTGAGCAAGAATTCAACCTTCATATAGGTAGACAAACACACCAGCTTCAAAGATGACTGCAGTAGAGAAGACATCCTTCGGACTGGAGGGACTCCTCATTATCCCCCAACATTGCAGACCGCTAGGAACGCTCACAGAAACTCAAAAAGACTCAACCAACAGACCCTCGATTCTTGGCGCCGCTGAAGAATCCATGGACCCTGGAGACAATCGATCAATCACCGCCAAGGGGCCGCCGGACCGGACTCCGCGCTCCGCTCCCGCGACCCAACTCTGCAAGCTTTTGTGTCATTGCAGTACGTCTTTCTCCACTTCCAAGGGTTGCACTTGCTGGTTTAGGATGGTGTGATGCATGAACGTTGTTGGTGAACCAACAGGTTGAGCAGCACCAACATTCACTTGGACTTTCCCATGACCAACTTCTACTGTAGGGAACATTTCGGGCATCAATTTGGTAAGCTCTCCGCTTGATGTCGTAAGATCCCGAGCCCGAGGTTTGTGGGATAGTAAACCTCGTTATGATTCGCCGAAGCTGGTTCAAGGTTTCGGATCGCCTAGAGTTCGAGCCTTATCCTAAATGTTTGATCACAAATCGAACCTCGCTTCGGTAACTTTGTGAACTTGACGTCCATTCTAGCTAGTAGATGGCTTGTTTATAATTATTCTATGAACCCTCGCAATATGAAGCGGCCTCTTATAGGCCAATCTTTGCTGCAAGATAGTGAACCGCAACCTTCGTAGTAAGGGCCAGTATGCCGGTGGCAGGGATTTTGTCGTCATCCGAACGCCTCTGCCAGCCAAGCTCGAACGGCAGTCTCTCGTTCTCTGTGGGAGTTGACGTTAGCTTTCTCGAGGGCTTCAGCGATAGCAAGCTATACTTACCAAAGAAGTACTCAACCCAGGCCCTGTTGGCGTTTCCATCGTCATAGTCCCCAAAGAGACCAAGATACATGGCTGTTTGCCCCAACGAGTTGGTGTATCCGTCAAGTGGCAGCTTGTACTCTGGGTTGATCTTCTCTGCACTCTTCTGCCTTGCAACGAGCGCCTTAGCGGCATCGCTGATGGAGATTGTTTCTGAAGGCCAGTATGACTTGGTCTCGTCAAATATCGTCTGATTGAAGGACCAGTTGTCGCCAAAGTAGATGTCCGCTCGACTCAACGACGCGTCGTGCTCAATAAGATTGTGCTTGTTCAAGTCGTTGAGGTGGAAGGTGTCTTTGTTTCCGGTTGATGATGCCTCGAGAGCTTTGTTCCCTTGGAGGCGGAAGAAGAGTTTTGCGTCCTCGCGGAGGTTGAGCCCGGTATGCATGCCTTCGATGAGTGCGTCGACGGAGATGTTTTGGCCGTTTCGGGGGAGGTAGCCGTGGTTTGCGAGACTGTTTAGAAGGGGGCACGGGGCGCGGCCTAGGAATGTTACCGAGGTTAGTCGTGATGTCACCTACAGACCGCTAGCTGAGTTCTCTACTCACGATCGTTCGATCCTGGTGTCTGCCACGCATGATCGGCATCTTGACACAGAACCGATGTTGTGAAAAGGGCGAAAGATAAAAGAGTGACGCGCATCTTGGCTAGGCAAAACCAACAACACGAACAAACGAACGACTGGTAGTTAGATGCGAAAGGACGGACTAGACAAAGTGATCTGCAGGATTCAGCAACAAATGGGCATCCAGATTCTAGATATGTTTCTGCCTTGATCGGCGGCAAGACCGATTTTGACCGGGGGACACATCCAGATCAGGAAAGAGACACGGGCCACCCCGGGCTGCCCGATGGCCGGCTCCACGGCCGAGGACCGAATTGCGATGCGGGTGGATCGGGACCCCGTATTCTGGAAATTACTTCAACTTAAATTTAGTGCAACATCAGGCAAGCAGCCACACACGGAGTCCGAATTACTCATCTTTTTGACTCGTGATGATCCACCACCTTCTGCTTTCAGTATATATATGCACCTTTATATATGCGGTTGTGAACGAATTCGGACTCTTGAGATTGCCGCTCTGCCTTTGGGGGCTTTTTAACCTATTCTTGATGCCGTCTATCTACCGAAAGTCCGTCCAGCGCCGTCGACGGCAGCCCGTTTTAGCTACATCAGCACAAACCGTTGCATTTCATAGGTGTGGAAAGCATCAACACTGGTCGCATAGTTGTTCTCGTGATGAATCATACCTGTATTACCTCAAAGCCATGCACGCAAAGCTTTACGGCTTGGTAGTCTGAGGGCATGACCCTTGCACATGGCCTAGTATGCGATGTAGCCTACTTTCTTCACGATGTTACACTGATCTTATACTACTATGTACGTCTGCACTTATGCGCCTCTAAAGGGGCAATGAACCAGAGGTCCACAAATTGCATATCGGATAAATACGTTATTGGAACGTCTACTCGTCGCTGTTGAGCAGCAATGTGCTAACATAATCGAATCAAAATGATGAGTGAGTGGCGGGGTGACATGCAGGCAGGCCGAGTGGGATTACATGCAACATGATTTACCTATTAACGTGCCCAGCTGCGCCCCAGAGCCCTCCCATTGTTACCAAATGGCTGTATCTATGGCCAAACACGCCATGCCCCCGCCCTTGAGGTGTAAGTTGTCGGTCTCGACAACTTCATGCCCCCCCCCCCCTCCGTGCCAACGAATCCATTTCCAGAACTTGGTATCGCAATGTCAGATCCTCTCTCCATCGCAGGCAGCATCGCTGGTATAGTCCAACTATCCGCATCCGTCTTCCAGCAAGTCTCCGAGTTCATAAAAGATGCCAAAGGGGCTGAAAAGACCGTCAAAGATCTTGCTGACCAAACCAGAAATCTGTCTGGGGTTTTGCAGAACCTTTCCCTCCTTGCGTCGTCACTCGAACAAGAGACCTCTATTTCGGCATTCAAGGCACATCATCTTCACGCTTGTCGGCAAACTCTACTCGCTGTCGAAAAACGTCTAGACAAGCCGTTGTCCGGATTCACGAAGGAAGTAGACGGGAAGCAGTGTACCGCAGCCTGAAATGGCCTTTCTCCGCTGATGACACTAAGGGCCTGCTTGCACAAATTGAAGGTCATCGAAGCACTGTTTCTCTGGCCCTGTCTACAGACACTCTAGAGAGTATGCTGAAGTGTTTGGAAAAGCAAGACAGCATCATTGGAAGAATCAGTTCATTGAAGCAGAAAGTGGAGCGCCTAACTGCCATTCAGACCAGGATCGAGTATGATGAAAAGCGTCAAAAGATAATCGACTATTTCATGAAGGTCAAACCTCAGGTCAACTTACAAACGTCGAGTCGATTACGCCAACCCCTGACTGGACTATGGCTCGCAGAGAGTAATCCTACTTTTTTGAAGTGGGCTGACCTCCCGCGCTCCGGTTTATGGTTGAGTAGAATCCCCGGAGCTGGGAAGACGATTCCATCCAGCATGGTCATTGGGAAAACCCTACAAGAAAGCAGTCAATCGGTCGCCGTAGCATTCTTCTAAGATGATTACGAAAACATTGACAGCCAGAAGCTTCTCAACGTCTTAAGCACAATAGCCGTCCAATTAGGCCAGTAGAACCACGAGGCTTTCGGCATTCTTGAGGAATACAACGCGGGGTTGAAATCGGCAAGTGGTCTTAATGCAGAACCTGAGCCAAAAGTTCTGCTTGATTTGATATTGACCACCATCTCGGTGTACGAAAAGGTCTTCATTGTCTTGGACGGGCTTGACGAACGTGGAGACAACTTAGCGGAAGTAGCTGAAGCTATCAAATTCCTTTTCGAGGCATCGTCATCCGCCAGCATTGCAGTGTTCAGCCAAGACGAGCCGGAAATTCAAGACGAGTTCGCAGCTGAATTCGCTCATATCGAGATTGCGGCTCATGCAGAAGACCTCGATATCTACATCCGTGCCGAGATGGCCCATAGAAGACAACCGCACAATCTCAGCATCCAGAATCCGCTATTTGCCGAAGAGATCCGGCATTAGCTTGTCAACGGAGCACAAGGAATGTGAGCTCAATTCCACTCTCTCACCAATTTGCGATACTTAAGAGTTCCAGGTTCCGATGGGCATCATGCCAGCTAGACTATCTCTGTGATCCCAGTACCAACCGTGCCCGGCGGGAAGCTCTGACAAGGAAGTCCTTGATGGCTGCTTGTACTTTTGGGAGGTTGGAAGCTGTCAAGATGCTTCTTCGCAGCGGCGCGGCGGTGGCCTATACTAATGAGAAAGGGACACATCGGAACGCCTTCACAGTTGCGGCACCTCATCCTCTGATCCAAGCATGGCTTCTTGTTGGTAGATTTCAGGATCAACAAAGATTGTGTGCTGATTCAATTTGGAAGCGCTGCGACCCAGAAGTCGGGTATTGAAGTGGAGGCTTTAAAGTTGAGTGCAAGCTAGTAGGCACGAACAAGCGGCTCAGAGGCGAGTCTATGCTTGACCCATTCAACAAATGTCACCGCCTCAAAAAATGGGCCAATGGCCGGGTATTGGTTCGGTGAGTCACACCAGGATTCCCCTGAGAAGGTTTCCGCGGCGATGATTATATGTCATGATATTGATTCTCCGTTGTCATATCCTACCTTATGTCATGACTATCTGCCTTTTGGGTATCGTTTTTTAAACATGGATTGGTGCCACGGGTGCCACGCCTGGCGTTGATATCAACTCTTGATTAGCGCGGTGTTAGCCACTAATAAGGAGTTGATACCAACGTCATCGCAAGCAGCATACACTACTGACTTAAATCGAGTGTCACAATTCATGCCATGTTAGTCGTGTTCCGAGAAAGGTCTCGGCCCAGAACGTCCTCCCTATGCGATTACGTTCGCTCATTGAGCAAACCGAGAGTCCGTTGCAAGGGTGACCCTTCATTCCTGTCGAAGTCAGAGGATTTGAACACAGTAACAGGCTAGTTGCACTCACGTCCCGATGCAGAACGATTCATGATGTCAATCATTTCATCAAATCGCCGTCTTGTCGTAATATCTGGCAACACCACGGCCTTCTGATGATCTAATACAACTTTCCAGGCAATCCGAGCAACGCTAATGTGTGGTGGTAATATGACGTGACGAGAGAAGCCCAGTTGACATGACCTGAAGACGCTGGCACCCTCCCACCGGCCTCATGATGCGTGGGCATCGTAAGTCCCGTTCAAAGCTCAATCGGTGTATGTCCCTATGCGGAGACATGAAACATCGAATTCGCCTCCTTTGCCGAAAGTACTTACCGAGCCTCCAGATCCATCGATGAGGATGACCTCCCTACTGATTTGAGATACAAATCCAGGCCTTCAAGGCTAACCACCTTCAATATGAAAGTCACAACGGCACCGCATACATAACTCGAAAAACAGCACACTCTAGCCATTTTTTCTTTGCACCTACATATGTTACACGAGATCTAACCACCGCTATCATCAATATATCAAAAGATGAAGACTCAGATTACTATCTTGACTTTGACTGCCACAGCGCTCTGTAGTCCAATTCTCCTAATCCACCGCGCCCAGGTTGATACCACAGTTCAACTCCAGAGCCGCCAGACCGGAACAATAGCAAAAGAATACACGCAAGGAGGCTGCCGTGATGTCATCTTCATCTTCGCCCGGGGTTCTACGGAAGTCGGAAACATGGTAAGTCCCCGCCGCGCTTCGGAGTCCCGTGTCCGGATAAGCCTAGACCGTATTCGCGATGTGCATAAGGGGGAAACGCATATACACATCAGATGACTGACGTCAAATCTTCCAGGGGTCGACCGTTGGACCTCCGACTTCAGACGGTCTGAAGAAAAAGTACGGCGAAAACAAAGTGGCGACAGAAGGAGTTGATTACGCCGCTGGTCTCACGACCAACTTCCTCCCCGGAGGAGCTGATCCCGTCGGCGTTGATGAGATGAAGCGGCTTTTGACCGATGCTACCAATAAGTGCGACAAGTCAAAGGTCGTAGCTGGAGGCTATAGGTATGCATATTCCTGCGGGTTAATGCAATATCAACGACTTGAGACTGACAATGGAGTCTTCTATAGTCAAGGAGCTGCCACCGCACATCGCGCGATTGAGAACCTCCCTGATGCAGTCAAGAGCAAGATCTTGGGGGTCGTCACCTATGGCGACACCCAAAATCAGCAGGACAAGGGCCAGATTCCCAACTTCCCCAAAGACAAACTGAAACTCATTTGCAACGAAGGCGATAAGGTGTGCACTGGCACTCTCGAGATCACGCCTGCTCACCTTGATTATGAACGCCATGTTCCCGAGGCAGTTGACTTTTTGACCGGAAAGATCGGCAATCTTTGATATCTACCACAACTTGCACACTAGATCGTCTTTGACCTAGTACCATTTGGCATATGTTTTGATTTAGAGAACATCACGGGGGACCACGCAGCAAGCGAGGATGGTGCTGGGATAGCTGGAATTACTGAATCATGTTTTGATATTGTAGGTAGATGGTGTTGACCACAATTAAAGCATCTTGCCATACTCGATCACGTCTCCCGACCCTGATCCTACTACACTACGGCTGAGGCCATCCGAGATTCAAACTCACTGTCAGTATGTTTGATGCTCAAGAGTGACGATAGCGATATCTGGGACGCTCGTCCAGTCTCTCACATGACTGCCTAATGTCACTACATGTATCCGATCTAACAGTACATGCATTACGTATCTGATCCTGAGCAAGGTCCGTACTACATTATTAAAATTGTCCGAGTAAGCTTGCGATGATTTGTGACAGCAGCTCATCCCCAAAACTTCATCCTGTCCCTTACCCCTGGACTCTAGCAGTCATCATATCTTCTTTTATGATGTCAGCGGCCCTTTCGGCAACCGCATAAACAGTGCTCTGGATGTTACCCAAGGGCTCAATCGGGAAGACACTGGCATCGACAATGCGAAGACTTTTCGCCCCATAGAGCCTTAGTCGCTCGTCAACAACGCCACCATCCTCCTGTGGCATCATGGCACAACTGCCCGAAACATGGAACACTGAAATCTGTCTTTGACGCACAATCTCCTTGGCAGTCTCCAAGTTGTCGCCCATCAACTCGGGCAAGCGTTTCCCTCCAGGCTTGAGTAGCGAGCTGAAAGGTTCAGTGCCTACGATTCGCTCGACAAATTGAACGTTGCGGGCCAGAAGCTCCAGGTCGAGGGGATTTGAGTTGTATTTCGGATCCCATGTTGGCAACGCTTTGAAATCAGGGCTAGTAATGTGGACCGTTCCCCGAGAAAACGGGTGGTTCAACACCGTCATAACAGTGATGTAATTCTCCGGCTTGGAAGGCAAAATGTACTCGGCCATGTTGGCTGGATGATCATTAATCGTGATTTGAGAAGGAAAAAGCAGGTATTCGCTGCTTGGCTCGTCCAATGTCTCGATAAGAGAGCGCACAAGCTTTCCAGTCGGCGAGCTCGCATGCTTTCCATGTGTAGCCAGAAGAGACTTCTTTGCGTCTCCTGACAACAGCCCGTTGTTGTCGGCGAGAGGCGTGTAAGCAGCGCTAATTGTGCTCTGGCCCAGTGGGCCCTCACGCGTGGCCATATACTGGCCGACAACAGCGTTGAGGATGTTTCCGTCTCGGAGAACATCCGCTGACGGCACTCCTTCATTGACCTCAAAGCTTTGGCAGACAATCGGGTGATCCTGCAAGTTCTCTCCAACATTGGAATTATCAATCACCACAGGAATGCCGTGGCTCTCGAGCAAGTCTCTCCCACCAACGCCAGACAGCTCCAATAGCTGAGGTGTTTGGAGAGTTCCTGCAGCAAGGATCACTTCCCCTTTCGCCTCGATTATCTTCTCCTCGCCGGCCTTGCTAACAATGAGAACGCCAGTCGCAGATACACCGTCTCCGGCAGTATCAAAGATGACTTTCCTGACCTGTGTCTCGGTCAAGACTACCAGGTTTGGTCGTGCAGCCACTTCCGGTGTGTAATAAGCGCTCGCCGCGAAGCTTCTCGTCTTGTTCTCCGGATCAATGCTGCACGGGTTCTGAAAAGCACCATAGGCCTTCCCACTCCGAGGATCACCAGTCACGCCAAGGCCAAGCTTATCGAATGTGCTCATCCACGCAGCGTTCATAGAGCTGTAGCCTTCGCCAAAGGAGACCTGAATTGGGCCTTTTCCGCTCAAAGTTTGATCGTGGTAGTCCAGCCCAACTATGTCCTTTGCGGACTGGGGAGGAGGATGATCAGTGCCAAACTTGCGGAAATAAGGCGCGAGCTCGTCGAAACTCCAGCCAGCGTTGCCCAGCGCACCCCAGGCATCTAAAACTCCCCTTGATGGATACAGCATCAACATGAAGTTTAAGGCAGAGCTGCCTCCAAGCATTTTGCCTCGTGCTTGGTTAATTCTTCGGTTGTTCAAACCAGGCTAGCCAAGGTCAGATGATTGCAGTCGGCCGATAAAGGGGTTGGCTCACCTGAGGCACTGAGGTGAAATTCCAGTCATATTCATCCTTTCCATAGACGCCTGCCACTAAGCCAGGCGTCAAGACCAAAGGGTCCGCGCTCTTGTCGGCACCAGCTTCAACAACTAGAACACGAGTGCCGTTATCTTCGCTAAGGCGAGAAGCCACAACTAGACCCGCTGTTCCACCACCTACAACAATGTAATCGAAAGAGGAATCGAGATCTTGGAAAGAAGACATGGTATTTCTTCTGAGTTTTTGGCGACTGTAGTCAAGATTACGAAGGGAGAAAGACTTTAACTTCAGCTTGCACAAGGGGGTTTTCTTATCTCAACTGACGTGACTTCGCCTGGTGTCCGATGCTAGGATGGATGGCCATCAACACTCCACAGTAAGCAAGTAGGCACACATTCAGCCAACTGCATGAATCTAGCCTCTGCTGGTAGGATAGTCCGCAATGCCCTGGTCAGTATCCACTATCGCAGTCTTTGGTTGCATTCGTTGGTTGTCTTTGGGAGAGAATACCAACACGACAGGGCCTGAGTTCATCACGCTTTCTTTATTTCCGGGCGAACAGCTCATGAGCTCTGAGCGACCTTATTCGAAAAAGGCACAGCACATCGGTTTTCTTTCTATTCGCAGACCGAAAGCGAGTTTCACTTTGCGAACCATTAACAACTGGAAGTCATGTCTATCCACTGACACAGGCTTGGACCAGTGGATATGGGTATGCATGTACCTAGCCTGCTCCCTATGTCTGTAGCCTTCCGCAAGTTCACATTTGTATCCTCAATTTGACACGGTCGAAGTAGCAGTTCTGTTACGTGTGCGGTTCCGAGGATTCAGGCACCTTTCACTTTGGTTCATAGAGGCATTCAAGACGCGTTGTTACTAGTGCGCATTGCCGAACAAATTTCACCTTGCTGACCATGAGCTTGTCAGTGAAACCAAAAATGGATGATGTCCCGCGCAACCCCAGCAAAGTCCATCTAACGATTGGAGCTAGGGACGGCACCACGGATCTCGTCCCGCGGCGAAACTCCCCGCGCCGCACACTCATTTGACAGATACGGATCGGCGCAGAACTTTTGTGTGGATGGCGCAAGTCAGTGGATCACTGCAGGGGATTTGCTGCAGGCATTCCGAAAGCTACAGCGCTAGCAACATCTATCGTACCATGCGTGCTGTGCCAACAGTCCAGAGGGCAACTCTTGAAGAATGCATACATTGGCCTCGGTCCGTAGTGAAGCGGTCATGATGGAGGAGTTAGCTGTTGCTGGATTGATTGGCTGATTATTGTCCTCTCGCTGGCAAGCGCCTGGGAGCTTGAACATTGTGCGCAATCAGCTGGGCCATTTTCCTGTGGCCAGTATTGATGAAGTGTCAAGTTACGCTAGCTGCAGTAGTCGGCCTCGTTAAACTTCGAATAGTCACAAGGAGACGCCAAATTTCTGGCATTACCTCTCACTGTCAAGGCCTAGACTCTTTCGGCGGCAATAACAAAGTTCAACCCGTTTCGTCTTGCGGTCTCCAGCGGCTGCATTATTTCGGTCGGCTTGGCAGAGTTGCTGAAGATTCTGGCTAACCTGAGCCTAGCGTGAACGTAAGATCAGCGGATGTTGGGCAGCTGTGCCGCATACGAGCATGGCAATTTCCGCTTGCTGTGATGCGGAGGTACTCGTTTCCGTGTTAGGCCGCCTCACAGTGACAGGACCAACACCAGTGATCCGCGGGCACGAGTAAAACAAGCAGGGGCTCTAGTGAGCTTCAAGCGTTCGTGTCTAGCATGTTTAACAGCAGGATATCCTCAGAATCCAAAATGAGATGATGGGTTGGTTTCTTTGTTTTATTTTGGATTTTGTCCAAATCCGAACGATCGCGCTCGACAATATCTCCTTCAATCTCTTTGAGGCGAGATGTAGACAACGCCTTCTGGGTAGTTCTCGCTACTGCCCGCTATTATGGCGTTCCATGCTGTCAGCTTTCCAACCTTGCCGATAGTCAAGGCTCATCTTCTCGTGAACTGCGTATTGGTTCTCTTCGCAGTTCTTATAGTCACGCTCCGTTTCTTCGCACGCTTCTCTTCGGGGGCTAAGCTGTGGTGGGATGATCTCCTCATTCTCCTTGCAGTGCCTCAGGGCATCGGGATGTTAGTAATCCAAGGCTTGTGTGAGTACTCGGCCCCAAACCGAGGAACATAGTTCTGAATGGACCTGACGAATCTGCAATCAGGGTCGCCCATGGGTATCGGTTACCCGATCACAGACACCCTTCCAAACATCGTCATCATCCTCAAACTTCTAGTTGCCTACGAGTTCATATTCGCGACCTGTATCAGCACCATCAAACTCAGCGTCATGTTTTTCTACCTTCGCGTCTTTGTCAACCCAGGACTCCGAACCGCGACAAAATTCGCCATGGGCTTTGTCATGGTCTGGACAACGGCCAACATCCTCCAGGTCTTCTTAATTTGCCATCCATTCGAGGCAACATATAATCCAGCTGTCACGGGCAAGTGTGGAAATCAGATAGCATCGTTCATCGCCATCGGTGCTTTCAATGTCATTACAGACATCATGATTTTGACATTGCCGATATCGACTGTCTGGGCACTCAAAATGAGTACGCCGGCCAAACTTGGTATCATCGCCGTCTTCTCAACAGGCTTGATGTATGGCTGCCCTTGTATTCCTCCCCTTTGGCTGTAGGCTAACAAGGAAACGAAACAGAGTCAGCGTAGTTGCCATCATCCGCATCGTTAGCCTCACCAACCTCGATCTCCAGAACTTGACTGAAACAATGATATGGGCCGACTTCTGGTCGACCGTGGAGCCGAATTTGGGTATCATATGTGTTAGCATGCCGATGCTGGGATCACTGTACTCGCGGTGCACAGCTCGGCGGGGTGCTTCAAAGCTCGACGGGCCTTCGGACGCCAGCGGCTACAACAATTCGAATAAGTTGAGACGATCGCACCCAAGCGCACCTGGTACTATCGTTTTGGCTACCATATACTCCCCGGAAAACGATGTACGCTATCGGTCTGAGGTTGCTTCGTTCGGACGTAACGGAAAGAACGATGATAGTGGGGATGACTTCGAGTCACGCCTGACCCCTGAACAAGAGCTTTTGGGCAGAGATAAAGTGATACAGGTAGAAACGCAGTGGACCGTGTCTCGCCAAGAGGCTTGATGCATTTCTTTACCAAGAGATCCAAAGTTTTCATTTGTGATAAGTTTGAAAATTTGACCCGACCGCCCTCGGCTTAGTTGTGATTGAGTGAGGCAAATGAGGTGGCCAGGTGCGAGAGTATCAATGCTAACGCTCGCATATTACACTTGGACGATTGACGACGGTTGTCAGATCTTGTGGGCTGAACACATGGCATTATACTAATTGCTCCCATTTAAGCTTCTTCGAGAAACCTTCATAAAGTAAACAGGAACAAACTACAATTGAGCGGCATGGCGTCACTCGGCGCCGCCTCTTATAAAATCCCGAGGCCTCGGTAACGGTTACCTAATCAGGAAAACCGGACCCGACGCCGACTAGCACGGGCCGTGTCTGCGTGGCCGTTCGACTCGTCTTTGCCATGACGTCTCACGACGGCCCCGAGATTTTACAAATTTTCGGCTTCCTTCTTTCTACTTTCGTCTTCTTTCGGAAATCCAGCCCGTATTGGACGACGACTTTACCGAATATGCCCAGTAACGCCTCAAGCTCTAGAACCCACAAGTCGTGTGATGCATGCACGTCGCGCAAAGTCCGATGTCCAGGTAGGCGTGCTTGATGCTGCGTCGACATGTGCAGATATCTCAATGGAATGATAGCTAATCACCAAATTAGGCCCAGGGTCATCTGGAACTTGTACCAACTGCACGGTAAGATTTAGCACCTATCAGCATAATTCTCGCGACCTCTTTCGACGCCTGTACTGACACAATTTCCGTAGAGAAGGAAGAGCGAGTGCGTTTTCGGCGTGAGGAAACTGGCCCGCAGGCCAAACAGTACGTACCCTTTCGTTGCCATGTCCAAGGCAATATCGATTTTATGTCTTCGGAGCTCTTGAGGACTCATTAACAATCTTACGGACGATTAGTTCAAAGACAATTTTTCCCTACGAGCCGGTCTTCCGGCACGCCTGATGAGATACAACAAGGGTGCACCGTATCGGTTTTAGACTTCGCAACACTGCCAACACCGGCATCTAAGTCACCGGATCCGACAATCTCGGAGAAATCATCCACTCCCGATCCAAATGCCCGACGGCCCGCCCCGCACCGGATTCCGGAACTCTACGTGGATCGAGTACTCGATAGAGCTCGTAAAGCTCCGAGATCAACCAGGCCTTCCGAGGCCTCCAACTATGTCAAAGTAAGCCCACATTGATAGCCCCACTTTCTTGAACTTCTGCTCACTCCGAAAAGGGTTATGGTATTTTTGGTAAGTGCAATGTACTTCTAAGGGGAAATTCCATATCTCACCCTACCATCTCACGTACCCAATGACGCCCTGACCAGTAAGTCATAGGCGGTACGAAGAATTTGACCTTCTTTTCTGAAGGGAGATTGAAATCCCTCGCACAATGCCTCGGCCATGAGAAAGTCCACGATCTGGTCGGGCGAATTGCAAGCGCTGTTGAGGAACGCGGGAGGTTCGTCAAACTCCGTGCTTGTAGTTTGAATCGTCGACCTGAGCGCCCGGCCTGCCTTGACGACAAAGCCCTTCTCGCAAAGTATGTCAAATGTGAGTAATCTTCTTCTCCCACTCTTCTTGGCTGTTATTTTGCAATGAGCTTATCATAAGCAGTATATTTTGAGCAAGTACACCCTCGGTTCCCGTTCCTCGACCGCGATGCATTCGAGAGGACTGCTTTTAGTCAGGATCAGCCTCACTCTGCGCCCAAAAGCAAGTCATGGATATGTCTCTATCATTCCGTTCTTGCTCTTGGTTGTCAATACGACGGTGGTGGATCTTTTGAGCCTGGGGAAGGTGATGCATGGAAGTTCTTCTCAATCGCTCTAGCCAACTTTGCCGATTTGATCATGCTACCAGACACTCTTACAACTTTCCAAGCTGTAGTAGCAATGATGATATACTCGCTTGGTATTGCTGGTATTGTGCTGGAGCACGTCCTCATGTCAGAAGCTGCCCGGCGAGCACAGAATCTCGCCGACGCCAAGTTTGTCGGAGCCGCAGCAGACGCATTCCGGCGGACTTTTTGGGTGTTTTACTCATTG